GTCAAATCACATCACTCTTCTGTTCCAAACCCTCCATATTTGAGTAAAAGCAAACTCCTACAAGTGGCCTCTGTAGATAGAGGTTCCAAGTTGACCTGTATTTAATTATCTCTGCTCACCTCTACTCTTTGTACTCTTCTACTGGCTCATCCAAATCCATCTGCACTGCCCTCTGCCACCAGACTCCTTCCTGACCAAAGGCCTTGCATAAACAGTAGAAACATCCTATATAATAAAAGCTTAATATGCTAAGTGTCCGGTCATCCAGTCAGCCGTTCAACCAATCAAAGCATAATATGCTAATGATATGCTAAGGCTGCTCAACCGCTCACTATGATGTGCACTGACCACCAGGGGGCAGACAGTCGACTGGTCGACCAATTGCTATGATGTGCACTGACCACCAGGGAGCAGACACTCCGACTGGTAGGTTAGCTTGCTGCTGGGGTCCGGCCGATCGAGACTGAGCAAAACAGGCCAGACATGCCCTGGGGCCCTCCCACAGTCCCTCCCCGGCTGGCCAACCTCCTGTGTCCCTCCCCGGCCCTGATCATGCACCAGTGGTGTCCCCGGCCTCTTGCAATCCAGGACTCTATGGGGGATGTCGGAGAACCAGTTTTGGACTGATCCCGCAGGCCAGGCTGAGGGACCCCACTGGTGCACGAATTCATGCACTGGGCCTCTAGTGTAAAGATCAGATTCCAAGTAAGCTTTTGTGGATTGATCCGTTCAGGTATACTGACTATAAATACTGGTTAAACCGCACACCCTTCCCTTCCCCTAAAACAATTCCCATCTGCAGGCACTGAAGAGTGACCAAACGTAGGCAGTCACTAGAGGGAATCTGACACTTGGAAGAAAAGAAGAGCAAGCACTAGATTATTTTTCTACTTTTCAAAACTTCTGGTCAGAGCACAGTTTCCAGTCTGAGTTATGTGGGGCAGGTGAAACTCCAACTGAAAACCTGTAGCATTTCCAGTCTGAAGAAACAGCGGAAATGAGGATCCCTACATTTTATTGATAAACATTTCCTATATCTATGGTGGACTCTTGAACTATATTGCAATTCCAAATAGCACAGCTAGAGAAAAAAACAAACAAATCAAAAAACCAACAAACTAAACTAATCTGAGATGTGAACTGCCTTTCAAGAGACAGGCTTTATGGGGATTTTAGTTGGAGTTCTAAACATGTATTTGCTTGTGAAAACAAACTAGAAAAAGAGACTCTTATAGGTAATATAAAAGAATCCAAAGGCCCATTTAAAATGTTCCGAATGCGATGTAAAGCTGCTTGACGTGAAGAAACAGGAAAATGTGACCCGTTCTAAGAGAAAAGAAAGTCAGCCCCTTAAGACACTAGGATGACCCAGATGTTCGCATAAGCAGACAAAGACGTCATAGCAACTGATATCTATGTTTAATGATGTGAAGGAAAATGTTCATAATGAAAGAAAAAGTAGAAAGTATCAGCAGAAAAATGGAAACTATAAGAAATAACTAAGTGTACAAAGGAAATATCAGAACTAAAAATATTATCTCAAGAACCAAAGGCCCTCTTTCTCCAATACCT